CACTGTAGTCCCTGGCACCAGACCTACAGTTCCTAACCTAATTCTGTGCATTACAGCTCATACATGCAACTGTGTACTGGGTGCTACTCCCACTTTTTCTCAGCCCAAACTCAAACTGCACAAACCCTGGCAGGCAAAACATCAAAGCACAGGAAGATCAAAGCCAGACAACCTATTTAGTACTATTTTTTCTGAAATAGACATCTAAACTTTCAATGGCTGGGAAGGAAGCAGCCATTTCTTCTCTCACACTGATGTTTATACCAGTGTGCTTTCGGTAAGCTCACTCATATAAACCCAGCTCAAGAACAATCAGCAGTGGAAAAAAAAAGAGAGCTGACATTCATTAACCCTTGAAGCATTTTTTTTAAGTTTAGTTCAATTACAAAACATATTCTGGAAGAACTTTTCACTAGTTTCTGTTCATATCCTTCATGGTATTGGTCAGGAAAGCAAAGGCCAGTAATCTAGAATACTTTTATCAAAATCCAGAAGAGTTCCCATATCTGTATTCTACTGAAACCCCACCTCATTCTCCCCTCCCAGATTCCATCCCCACTTTTCTGAAGGGAGTGTGGCAGAGTAAAAAATGGAGTGAGGGAGGAAACACACAACATACAATCATCCTCAAATGTTTTTTTAAAAAAGTAGAATACTGCTAAGGGAGGACTGCCTCAAATCTGCCATTCTTATAATCCTTCAGGCCACAGGATTATACTACCATTCTCCCATTGTTGGTTAAACTCATATTTTAACATTCTAACCCCAGTGCACTTTCTGAATCTAACTATCCCATGCTCACTTTAGAAGTGCATGAGGAACACCTGACTCCTTTCCAGGCTTACTTATTTACTGTTTGGAGTTAGCTAGACTTGGATGCTGGATCAGACAGCCCACATTACTGAAATAACTGAATGCTAGCAAGGGAAAGCAATTTGCCACTGGCTAAGCTGGGGATGGTTTTTACAAGTTACGAGTAGTGTTCACTAGAACAGCAGCTTGGCATGGATAATACAGCATCCCACAATGACCTGAAGAAAGAAATGGGTAAGTATAGGAGAAACTCCCCCATTTGTGACTATCTCCCTACTTCTTCTTCCTTGCAAGAAGATTGTTTCTACTCCTGGGGATTGTTAAGATTCCCTGCTAAAATTCCCTCTGCTCCCACTCCCCAAACCAGGAAATCAGCAACCAACCACCACTCATCCTAGGGAACCATCAGACACCCAAGTGGCACCAGAAGTGCTCAGTAACTGTAAACAGCTGCTTGCACACACAGGAGACATCTGCCTGCTTTCCAACACAGGGAGGACACTGTTTTGACTAAGTCTTCTTAGGACAAACTTTTATTCATCAGCACAAAACCAAAGCAAAGAACAAAGTGTTTCTCCAGCTTTGCTGTGACTTCTTCTTAGAGCCTTTCTTTTCCATCGCTGTGTCTTAGGTTACTAGGGGAGCCTGTCTCTTTCCTTTTGTTCTCTCAGATTTTCATAGACAACACTTTATCACATTTTAGCTGGGCTTATTATTCAGGCAGGTCCGCCTGGCTCCAGGTTCTTACACGTAAGAGTATAGTAGTACTACACATCAGCATAAAACTAAAATGTCCTTTAGAAAAAAATGTTATTTGCTTATGTAGAACAACATTCTGTGTATTTCCTCTCAGGTAAAATTCATATGCTACAGAGACTGTGTGGAATCAGAGAAATAGAATAACTCCTTCCCAAGGTTATCTAGTGGAAACATGCAAGAGAACGGCAATCCACAGTCAATGTTACAACTTAATTTTGTGATCTTATTTTGTCTTCTTTTACTTCAAAGAAAAAACAAAAAAAAGATGTTGACCTTCAAGTGACTATGACTCCTTTAAAAAACCATTCTAACGGAGGTTGCTCAATTAAGCTAGAAACAGATGTCAACTCCCAATCCAAAATTCTTATTCCTGCTCTTGCAGTAAAAATTTATTTGATTTTATGCAGTTTACACTGTGAAACACCTTCACCAGTTCAAATTTTTGGCTCTTCCTATTCAGCAACAGATGCTCGAGTGATGTTTCTCACTAGGTGCACTCCCCAGAATTTAGCTTCCCAATAATCACATTACCTATTACGCACATCATCAGCTTGCAGATAGAGTCACGCTTCCACCTGGAGCTGGCTAGATAGGTAGTAGTGCAGATGACAGGACAGCATGGTAGAGATTTTCAAAGACATTTCTTGAATAATTAAGATAAAGATATAAGCCATCTAATTCTCGTAGCTTCCTTTATGGTCTTAGGAGAAGTTCCCAGCACTGTGACAACAGCAGCTTACTTCCATTATTTTTTTAGGATTTTGGGGACTACTACCATAGAATCACAGAATCACAGAATGTTAAGGGGTTGTAAGTGACCTTAAAGATCATCTAGTCCCAACCACCCTGCCATGGGCAGAGATACCCCCCACTAGACCAGGCTGCCACGCCTTATCCAATCTGGCTTTGAACGCTGCCAGGGTTGGGGCACCCACAACCTCCCTGGGCAGCCTGTTCCACTGTCTCACTCCTCTCACAGTAAAGAATTTCTCCCTAATGTCTAACCTAAACTTCCCTTCTTTTAATTTGTACCCATTACTCCTTGTCCTAGAACTACGGTTCCTGACCACGAGTTCCCCTTCAGACACTGGAAGGTTGCTATGAGCTCTGCACTCAACTTCGTGTTCTCTAGGCTGAACAGCCCCAACTTCGTCAGCCTGTCTTCGTAGGGGAGGTGCTCCAGTCCTCTTATCAACTTCGTGGCCCTCCTCTGGATGTGCTCCAACTGTTCCTTGGCGGTGGGATATACACGAGGAGAGGAAAGGCAAGTCTCGGCCCAAACATCTTCCGGCGGGCTTCACCCCGCACCTTTCTAGAATCAAGAAGGCAGACGGTTGCCCAGCCTTCCCCGAGCAGTGAACGGGAATCCTCCGCACTTCACGCGGTCCCTCCTGCAGGCTGGGGGAGGGCCTGCCAGGAGCTGCCGACGCCAGCACGGTAGGCAAGCACAGCCCGACGCGCCCGCTCCCAGCGCGGAGCCCCAGCCGGCGGCCCGCCCCCGCCGCACCTGCGCGGAGGCGGAGGCGGTGCGGGTAACGCGGGGGCAGCGCCGCGCTCCGCCCCCGGCCCGCCCCCCTCCCTGCCGCCCGCCCGGCCCGGCTCCGCTCCAGCCCCAGCCCCAGCCCCAGCCCCAGCTCCGCCCGGCCGAGCCGCAGCCCGGCGGCCGCCACCGAGCCATGGCGAGCGCGGCGGTACCCGCGCAGCCCCGTGAGCCGGAGGCCCCGGAGGAGCGGGACGCGGCCGGGGATACGGAGCGCACGGAGGTGTCGAGCGGGGCCGGGGCGGCGGCGGCGCTGCTGGGGGAAACGGGGCTGGCCGTGAGCTGCTGCATCGCGGCGGCGCTGAGCTGGGAGCGGCCCCTCCGCAGCCTGGGCGGCTTCGTCTGCGCCAACCTGCTCTTCTGGTGAGCGAGCGAGCCGGGCTCCGGGGCCGGGGTCGGGACCGCCCCCCGGGATGGGAGAGCTCCTGCCTGGCCCGCGCCGCCCCGCCCGGCCGCGGGTGTCTCCTCCCCCCGCCCTTCTTCCCTCGTCCCCCGGGAGGAGCCTTTGCCCCTCTGTCCCCCCTGTCCGACCGCCCTGCGCGGGGAGCTGACCCCCGCCCCCAGCTCCTTCCGTGGGAAGGAAGGTCCTGCTTTTCGCTTCACCTGCGCCGCGGCATTCCCTGCCCAAGCCGCCTCCCCGGGTCTGGCCGTGGCCCTCTGGCTGTGTGCATCTGCTTGCTCGGGGTCTTTCATCATCGGTGTCTGCCCCAGCCCCACACACGCCCCTTCTGCCCCCATTTCCCACGGCATGATGTGTGATGATGAGGAGGAGCCTCGGAGCGAAGCTGAGCGGGGTGGCTGCACCAAACCCCACCGGGACTTGCATTTCCCGCAGCCGAGATAAACCGTGGGCCCGTATTTCTCTGCAGAGTTTTGAAACCTCCTGGAATTAGGCCCCGAGCCCATAGATAGAGCTGCGCTGCTGCCCTGGACCAGTGCTTCAGAGTTCATGTTGGATGTACGTGATTTTCCAAATTAGTGGCCTAGTTAGTGGAGGCTTTGTGGAGTGGGGACAGCAGGAATGTTACTGCAGTGCGCCAGTTCTCATTTTTGACTAAGCTTTTTCTAGTCAGATAGTTTTGTTGAATAAACCCCAGAAATTAACACAGGGATGTGTTCGTTGTTGTGTTTGTCATGACTCTTCTGTTTACTTCTATAGGAAAAGAAACTTGTGGAACTTCTTCAGGGCTTTCCCCTGATCTTTGGTTTTGTCAATGCCTATGTTTTTTGTTTTCTGATCTAAAATGTTGCTTGTGTAGAGTGATTTATGAATTAGGGCTCTAATAATACCCCTAATAATTAGGGTCTAATCATACTGCTGAGACTGTTAAGACTGAGTTGTGTTTCCTGCAGCTAGAACTGCCTCCTTTCCCCTTGAGTGAATAAGAGGCAAACAAGCAACATAGGGGGATTAGCTGCAAACTCCACTTAGTTCTCTATAACCCTAACAAGCATGATCTTTAAACATAAGATCAAAGTCATGGAAAGAGAACTTCCTGAGGCTTTGCGCTGTACAGAAAAATCTCTGTGCAAGTGTGTGTTATTTCCAATTTTGGTTGACTTGTATTATCCATCTTGCTCTTAGGTATCCTCGGTAAATCTTTTCACTGAGAAGGTAACATGGTTTTGCTCTAATTTTCTGCATACTTCAGAGATCACCTGTTCTTTCAGCAATTTGGAAGAGTTATAAAGCTTTATGTTTCTTTGCCGCATGGCTCTGATAAAATTTGCAGGGACTACATCTAGCATAATACATTTCTGCATCTCAAGGAATAGTATCTGCTGGGCAACCAATTTGCTCTTCTTTGTCCAGCTTTGATCATAAGCAAGGTATATAGTTCCAGCATTATGTAATGCCTATAGGAAGTCTCATTTGGTAGTCTTACTGGCAACTTGTTATGTTACCACTATTTGAAGTTATTTTACCAAAATTCATAGTTCTCTCTACTTTCTTACTCTCAAAATCATAGAATCATAGAATTAACTGGATTGGAAGAGACCTCCGAGATCATCAAGTCCAACCATTGATCCAACCCCACTGTGATTACTAGATCATGGCACTCAGTGCCACATCCAGCCTCATCTCAAAAACCTCCAGGGACAGTGAATCCATCACCTCTCTGGGCAGGCCATTCCAATGCCTGATCACTCTCTGTGTAAAGAACTTCTTTCTAATATCCAAGTCAGGGCAAGGATTGCTCATTTTACTTTTGTGGTATTGTACCTCAGCAGGAAGCTCACCGTCCTAGTGCCAGGGAGTTTTTGAGAGGTGTATACAAACTAGGAAATGCAGGAGCAGGAATGTTGACCAGTAAAATTCTGTGGTTTGAGACTGAAGAACAACAGTCTTAGCTTTGTCCTTAGCAAACATAGGAAATCTGACACTTTGAAAATGAAGTGTCACATTTCTCTGCTTTGGTTTTGGCGTTGTGTTTGCAGCACGATGTGTTTGCTCCTTCTCCTTTTCTTGTTTGAGATTCAGCTCATCAGCCTAGTTTGTTGTGACTCAGTCGCTACTGCTTCTGAACTGGGAACAAGTGTCTGCCCCTGCTGTGAGTCAGGTCTCTCCTAACAGGGCTTTGTGGCCAGAGCCTAGGTAGAAGGAATGTTTCCTAGTTGCTGCTTATGTGCCTCATCTTTTCTTGTCATGTGCCTCCAAGTATCCCTATCCCCATTACAGAATAGGTTCACTCCCAGTGAGAAGGGCCTATAATCTCAGGACTTCTCAAAGCTGAGAAGTCGATATGGCTGGATGGGGGGCTCCTCTCACTGTAGCAGCAACAGTGTTGGTGGAAGAGGGAGGAAGGGGAAGTGAGGCTTAATTTTACAGTTTTCTAAATGTTGGAAAAGTAATGGTAGTTCCTTTCTCCTGTCTGTTTAATTTTGTTGGGACTGTGCTTTACTCACAGTTAGTTCAGTACGTATGCCATTCAAAACACTTCATGTGTAAACTGTTGCAGTGGGAGCTGCTGAGAGCGAACTGTTTCTCCGATGTCACAAAATCTTTTTTTTTTTAATATGTTCGATTGTAATCTCTTTTGTGTTGAAAATCTCTTAACCATTGTTCTATAGATAAATGCATTTCTGATGTTTACTACTAAAATAATGTTCTTGTAAATACAAGAAATTTACTAACTCAATTTCATTATGATTGCCTTAATTTTTTGAACATTCCTAACAAATTATCATGGTGTGCTTAACAAGAGAATAGTAAAAGTAGTAACAAATCTGATTATTGAAAAAGCAATTTTCAGTTGCCACTTCCATTATTCATTCACCAAGAACAACTTTAAACCTCCTGCCCCAAATTAACCTGATTGAAAATCTTTAAAATAAACAAGGGTTAAATATATACTGTTTTGCACCTAATAATCTGAAATGTAATATGGTTTCTTCTGCTGTATATAGTTTGCAAACTGAAGTCAAAATAACACAGGAAAACAAGGCTGGTTTTCCCCCACCTGTTTTACACACATCATACCGAAAAAGTGAGTGATGGCTCAAGAGCAGAGAAACTGTGCTGGTACCAGAAGTTCAGTCACTATGTTCTGTTTTGAATGAGAAAGTTGGCTGCATATTTTTGCCCGCTATCAGCACTGACTGTGGGTACCACTGGAAATGTGGTCCCCGTAGAGCTGCTCACATAGGACATCTTGGTGACAAAATGTTACTTTCTTCTTGGTCTTATCTGTATTAGGTGGTCTTGCTAGTGATGTTATTCCTAGAAGACTGCTGTGGTCATTAGTGTTTTTCAGTACTGCCTGGGGGCTGTGAGGTTGACTATGGGTTTCCCTCAGCACTGTGTGTGATCCCTTCCTTAAGGATGACTCACTTAGTCCTTTACAAGGATCATGTCACTTTCATTCATCCCAGCCACTCCATTACCAGCATTCCACCAGATGTCATTAGTAAGAAATTCACAGAGACTGTAGGGATTGTGTTGGCTATCTGCATTCAGGTTTTAATTTCACTTGACATTTTTTGTGAGTCCAGTTACTGAAATTGAAAGTTGCTATATATAAATGATTTACTCCCTATTGCTTTAATTCAGGCACACAGTAATTTCACCTCAGAATCCATTTTTGTTTCCCTCTCAGACATACTTTCCACAAACCACACTCGAATCTGAGAGCATACGAGCAAAATTAATACAGAAAGAATTAATTCTGACAAAATTTTATTCCTTAAGAAGAAAATCCTTGGTTCAAAATACTGACTTCCATTTAGGATATATGTGGGAAATTCATCAGTGGTGGTAGTCAGGAGGAAGATCACCAAACTGCATTAAGTGAGAATTGGAATAAAATAAATCTCTGAAATCAAAAGATAAAGAAAAATGCATGAAAATTAAGTGAGTTGGAGTAAGACTGGATATTGACTTTTTAAGGCCAGATTGTGGTATGCTGGTCTTCAGAGCGCTGTATTGAATTCGTGATACCTCCCACGTCAGGAGAATACATACATGTTTCTGTGACAAGATGTTTTTTTCCTTATAGCAACCAAATGCCAAATGGGGTTTTGAATGTGGGAAATTTCAGTCTTTGGCTGTCTTTGTTACAAGAAATCTTTAGGATACATTTTCAGTTGTTTTGGGATTACTTTCCTGAGAACCGAAGTATCAGAACAGCACACAAGTGAATAGTCCTGCCTCAAACCATAATGAGTTTTTATCTCCTATCCCTTGAGTAAGGATAGTAGAATAGGTTATGTATTGACATAATTCTTTTGTAGTGATAATACATTCATTATCAGAAAAAAGAAGAAAGAAGTTCTTGCATAGGCTGTTTTGAAATTCACTGTGCTTTCACCTGAGTGACTTTCTTACATGGTTGCTAGTTTGTTTCTTCTTGTCTGATAGTTATAACTTATTTAATTTGCTGCCTTTTACCAAGGCTTTCTAACGTATTGGTACTGAGATTATTTTATTACACCTAGCTGCAGTACAGTAAATTGCTGATGTTTCTTCAAGCTTAAAAAAAAAAGTTTGTTGGTTTTTTTCTTCCTCGAAGATGATATTTCAAAATACTCTTCCTCAACTAAAGATAAAATTCGAGTGTCAGTTGTGATATAATTTTAGGGTCTGCTTGTTTTCACTCAGGCAGTGTCAAGCTTATGTTCACTTTTCTAGTACAAATTATTAAAACTGTTCAAGGCTTTGGAGGTAGAAAAGTGGAACAGAATGTTAATTTAATTTCATTAGAAAAAAAATTAAAAATCATTAACAGCTTTTTAGTGACAGTTTGGATACTTTTGGGTGAGAGATTGGTTTACAGGAATGAAAATTGACATTGTTTAAGAGCCAGACAGTGTTACATAAAAACCTGGGAAGTTTACAGCATTTTTTGACCAATAAGATGAAGTCA